CAATCACATGCTGTCGTAATATATACACGAGAGTAATGCGCGTAGGAGATGAAGTTTATTCGTGGGGCATGGACAGCTAGGGATGTTGGTCACATGACCGGCACGTTTGAGTCATTGTTAAGCAATGAGGGGACAAAGGAGAGACAAGCCCAACCGCCCGTATTGAAGGGTGTGGTCCAGGAGTGGACGGTTGAGATGCTATCTAGGGGGTTGACGGAGTGAAATCAGAAGCGTTGCATCATACAGGGTTAGTAAAGCAGCCCATGTGAGGTGGGTCCCAGTATGTCGGTTAAAATGAGAGTAGTTCATGGCCATTTGAGTTGTGATTAGTGGGACCGGTTAGAAAGTTGATTGGCTTAATGTGAACGGGGTTGCACGAGGTTTTTGCGATAAAGTTTAAATTTAAATAGGTTTAAAACTACAGTAATATCTCAAAAATTTTTGTTTTGAATTATATGTTTCATTATTATCTTCTTCAAGTTACTATTATAATTTGTCTTTTAATTATGTTAAAGTACCGTTACTACGACATAAAATACATAAAATTGGACAGGANTATGGATGCCTTGTTCAACCGATTAACGTGTCTTTTTTGGATAAATAAAATTATAACTACTTGTAAATATACAGTAGTGTTCAAGACATGTTCGACTCGAAGACTCTCCAACTATTACTCAATGGGAGATACCAAGGAAACCGATGAACATGTCAAAGCTATAAGTAATAAGATTCACTTACTTGGTTGCAGAGCAACTGTGTTGGTCACCCTTTTCGGAATCTGGTTGCAGAGCAACTGTATTAAAAGCTCTTTTGTTGCTTTTAATACCAGCAGACGGTTGTTTTCCGGGCTCATCAGTGCCTGGCAACCCTAATCTTAGCTCTGTTGCCTTAAGATTCAGATCACTCTCATAGCAGGTCACCGTCCTGGCCATTTCCATTAATCTTCGCGATAACTCCACAACAAATGAAATTGTAAGTGCAAACTGATTGATACCACCACCTTCTTTCAAACTTATTAATAGGGTACACAAGATATATTTTCAAAGTTTCCGGTGAGTTTCTGTAAATTCCGACTACGACAGAGGGTTCAAAGTTTTGTGCTATGGAGGAGAGGTTATGATACAGAAGAATTTTATAGGATGGTTAGGGTGAGACAAGACCTAGGTGACTTATTCTCCTTGTGCATGAAATTCAGAACATAGGGTTGCCCTATTGTCACGCACTTTGTAACTCATACCTCTGTATTCAAGCAATCACATGCTGTCGTAATATATACACGAGAGTAATGCGCGTAGGAGATGAAGTTTATTCGTGGGGCATGGACAGCTATGGATGTTGGTCACATGACCGGCACGTTTGAGTCATTGTTAAGCAATGAGGGGACAAAGGAGAGACAAGCCCAACCGCCCGTATTGAAGGGTGTGGTCCAGGAGTGGACGGTTGAGATGCTATCTAGGGGGTTGACGGAGTGAAATCAGAAGCGTTGCATCATACAGGGTTAGTAAAGCAGCCCATGTGAGGTGGGTCCCAGTATGTCGGTTAAAATGAGAGTAGTTCATGGCCATTTGAGTTGTGATTAGTGGGACCGGTTAGAAAGTTGATTGGCTTAATGTGAACGGGGTTGCACGAGGTTTTTGCGATAAAGTTTAAATTTAAATAGGTTTAAAACTACAGTAATATCTCAAAAATTTTTGTTTTGAATTATATGTTTCATTATTATCTTCTTCAAGTTACTATTATAATTTGTCTTTTAATTATGTTAAAGTACCGTTACTACGACATAAAATACATAAAATTGGACAGGAAAAATTTCATGTGAACACGAATTCAACAAACAATAAAAGTTATCAGAGAAACATCATTATCACAAGATTATGTTCACAATATCAAAGTAAGAGTAGTCTATCAGAATTAAATCATAATTATATAAGCAACAATAATTAGTAATAGATCTGCATATAAATCAACAAAACAAACTTAAACTACCATTCACTTGACTCTGATACCAGAAAAGGGGGAAGATCGTTGTATCTACAAAATAAAGAACTTTTATTAATTCAAAAGTATATTTAAAGAGTAGAGTCTACTTGCAGTAGTAGACCAGGATGCAGAAGAAGAAGAGTTTATACAAGAAAATGATTCACCGAGAGTACAAGAGGGACAAAATGAAGGAGATGGTCAAAAGAGTTGGTAGAAAAGTGGGTGAGATAGAAAGGAGGTGTAGAAGTGGTCTGGGGACGGTGCTCCACAAATCGGGCCTGAATCCCTATATATAGAGTCGGATATGAAATTCAGATTTCAAAATAAAAAATATTACTTACAACTTTATATTATTCCTAACTTTAATGATTTACAATGACGTCATTGCCTACGTCATAAATATTGTACACTTTTTACTGTACACTTTTCACAGTCTTTATAGTGACGTAAGGGCGTACATCACGTCGTTGTAGTGACGTCAGGATGTGCATCACTTATTACAGGTCAGCTTTATCTGAGAAATCAATTTTATTTGATTATTTCCTGAAAAATAAAGTAGACAGTACATTATCTCTGTCATCATGTAGATTTATCTCCATATCATTATTTAACAAATTTTTGTTAATTTCAATGTCACCTTTAAGAAGGGTATATTCTTGGGAATCCATAATGTCGTCGTTAGAATTAATAGGAGTAAAAGATTTCCTATTTTCTTCCTCAACTTTATCTTTCCTTTTGCTTTTTATGGCAATTGTATGAGTGTTAATGAGATTCAACTTTTCAGTTTTGTTCATGCCAAAAGTAGATATGATCTGAAAATCGAATTCCTTCGTAACTACTGTTTTAAGCTGCTCAGGATTTAAGTGGAATTTTTTGTTTTTAATTAGTTTTTTAAGAACTTCAATAGGATTTAAATTAATTCGAGTATTTATACTAGTAGAGGGAACCATTGATGTAGAAGATGAAGTTTTATCTGTTGAAGATTTATCTTCTCCTTTATCTATGTTTTTAAGACATTCCGCTATAATTTTATTTTTAAACTCAAGCGGATAATTTTCTCAAAATTAGGCCAAATATTTCCTGATGTGTCTAGAATCAATAATGTCCTTGATTTGACATGGATCATTAATATAAGGATATATCCTTTTAATGAAATTATGAAGATCCATATATGGAGGCACAGTTAAAAATTTTGGAATAGTAGAGGGAGATTTATCTCCTTACAACTTTTCTTTATAGTCAACTTTATTTGACAAAGAAGCAACAACTTTAAGTTGTTTTGACGGGTTATTATTCATATCACATTTATGTGATGATGTCTTTATAGAGAATGGAGGATAATAAGAATTTTTATATGCATTAAAATAATGAGAATCCTTATATGAATTAAAATAATATGCACTTCTATATGCATCAAAAGCATTTTTATAGTCATCAGAGAAATATGTATGTTTATATGCCAAAACTTGGGTTCTAACAGTTATACCACCAAGTTATTTATCATTTTTTGGCAAAATTCTTCTGGGACTATAGTCACTAGTCATTGTTTATAATGTCAATTATAGTGCCAGTCATTAATTTCAAGAATAAGATGGAACTTTAAACCTGCTTTTAAAGATTTTTTTTGACGTCTTGCAATTCTTAATAAAAAGATAGGTATATGATCAATTAATTGATCTTCCATAGCATTGCAATAGAGACACCAAAAATGAAACTTTGTAATTATTAGTACTCCATGTGGAGGAAAAGCTATAAACATCTTTTTCTGCATAATCACAAAAATAGTCAAGAAGCTCTGGTGATTTGACAATAAGATCCAAAGAGAATAAATCTGGGTTAGGACTCATTTCTGTAACTTCTTGGTCTTGTCCTGCAAAATAAACATCACTTTTTAATATGTTAGAATATAATGAAAAATTTAATTGATTTTTTTTATAAATCAGATTTTCTTTTATTTGATTTATCAATTTTATTTGAGGTGGAATTATAAATTCAAATAATATTTGTTGACCATTTATGGTCGTCAAAATTCCTTTAGAATCAATCCTTTCTATGGGTTTAATTAAAGATAAAAATGGTGTTCCTAAGATCACCAATTAATTTAAATTATCAATAAGCATAAAAGTGGTAGAAATACAAATTCCTTGATTACATACAAAAATATTAGAGAGTTTAAAATTTATATTTAATTTTGACCCATCAGACACTGACTAACTGAGTAATTTTTTCAAAATATTTAGTAGGAATTAATCCTGCCTTTATGCAGTTCATATCTACTCCACTGTCAATTAGAGCAATAGTTTCGATAGTAAACTCAAAATTTATAACTAAAATAATTTTAACATACCATTTTTGATAAGTTATTTTTTCTAAAATATTTATATTGTTATTTGGTGATGGTTTATCATCAAAGTTAGATAGTGATGGTGATGCTATATCATCTTGTATGTCACTTTCTCTAGATAAAATTTTTTCTAAAATTAATAATCTAGACTTTAAGACTTTTATGTCTTCTTTGACTTCATTAATTTCTATCTTTATATTTTGAACCGTAGTAGGCCAAGCTTCCTTTATATGGAGTGGACTATCACTCATATCCTTTTCACTTCTATTAAGGACTTTTTTTAATGAATATGGTTGAGACAGATTAGGTCTCTTTTATTCTGTATTTATCTCTAAAAATTGTTCAATAACTTTTCTTTTGGATTCTGGATCTTGAATTTTATCAATAAGGTCTAGAATAAAATTTTGTAACTTAATCAAAGTATTTATACTTAATCCATTCATAGCTAGAATAGCTTTATAATAATCATTTTCAACTTTACAATGTGAATAACAAGTTTTATCTTGTCTTAAAGATTCTGTTTCTGAAGAAAAATTACTAATTTCATTAATATTATAATTTTCAAAAAAATTATCAGAATTATCTTCTAACTCACTTTCGGAGTTTAAAACAATTTTAAAGATTTGTTCTTTAAGGTTTTCATCATTAATTAATTCATTTATCTATTGTTTAGTTAAACATTTAGAGGCAATGTAACCCTCTTTTCCACACTTAAAACAATTAATAAAAGTTCTTTATTTTGTAGATACAACGATCTTCCCCCCTTTCTGGTATTAGAGCCAAGTGAATGGTAGCTNTAAAAGTTCTTTATTTTGTAGATACAACGATCTTCCCCCCTTTCTGGTATCAGAGCCAAGTGAATGGTAGCTTAAGTTTATTCTGTTAATTTATATACAGATCTATTACTAATTCTTGTTGCTTATGTAATTGTGATTTAATTCTGATAGAGTACTCTTACTTTGATATTGTGAACATAATCTTGTGATAATGATGTTTCTCTGATAGCTTTTATTGTTTATTGAATTTGTGTTCGCATGAAATTTTTCCTGTAAAGTTCTATGTCTGATGGTGTGTGGGATATTAGGCCATTTTAGCCATTTTTGTGATTGTTAGGCGTTTTTATGGCAAGTTTCTGGTCCCGGTATCGTTGACAGAATAGGATTTTGGAAAAATTTACTAGAACAAGTTTAGCTCACGATAGATGCTGAGAAACTTATTATTTTCGGATTATTGTAGCAATTGTCACAGTAACGGTACTTTAACAGAATTAAAAGACAAATTACAGTAATAACTTGAAGAAGGTAATAGTGAAACATATAATTCAACAAAAAAACTTTTGAGTTACTANATTACAGTAAAAACTTGAAGAAGGTAATAGTGAAACATATAATTCAACAAAAAAACTTTTGAGATACTACTATGGCTTTAAACCTATTTAAATTTAAACTTAATCATAAAAATGACTATGTTAAAAATATGGAAGAGATAAAATTCTTTGATATTGAAAATAAATTACAGAATTGGGATATACCCTAGCACCCAACTAAGAAAATCTATAATATTGACACGTTTAATTTTAAATCGAGTTTTACTATTAAAACGATTGAAAGGAAT